GACAGTTCATCCCTTAGACCATGTGGTCAATGTGACCGGCTGACAGTTCCTTCAAGACTGCATTATTACGTTCCAAAACAAGTCCAACTTCTGACTCTTCTATGGATAAATAAATGTATTGCCTTTTTATAGTTTTTAAATAAAAGCTCAACAGTGATATTTCGTTATTTATTTTTATCAGCACTAATTATGCCATTAAGTTTTCCATTTATTTTTATTCTAAGTTAATTTTGTCTTAAGGGCTACCTTCTGCTTCACTAATCCGGATTATCACTTAATCCGGTTGACCTCTCCCTCCATCATTACTCCTGATTAGCGAGGGCTTACTTTATATGTAAATATTACTACCACAAATTAATATTTACCGAAGTATCTCCTCTCATAGAGAAATAGGATGGGGTTGTATGGATTGGATTGTTCTGGCTCGGGATAGGGACCACTTGAGAACTCTTGTGAATGCAGTAATAAACCTTCAAGTTCGTAAAATGTTGAGGAACGTCCTGAGTAGTTGAGAGACTGCCAGTTTCGCAAGGACTCATCTCCATGGAGTTAAACAGTCTCTCCTTTTAACACGCCAGCCCCTGATGATGGCCTTGCAGGGCTACAACACGTAACACCTACTTTATCATATGAATAAAGCTCTCATCTACTACATTTTACATTTAACTGTTTTTATTACTACATTATCTTTCTTAATATTCAGTCAGTGAGGTTTTTAACAGTCATCACCGAAACCTCACTTAGAGGCTTCTAATCTCTTCATAACATCATCGCTGGAAACTTAACTAAATTAGTGTTTTTGTTGTAGTTATAATTCGTATTTGCATTGTATTCATTTTGTGTAGCGTGTCCTTTATTGCTTGTGTAGTTTTGTGTGCTGTGTTTTGTTCGAGTGTGACGTGTTATTTTGTGTGATGTGTGTTATTTGTGTGTTGTGTCTTATTGTAGTATCACTGCCACCGGGTAAAACCCATTTGCAGTTAAAATAAAATAATAATGATAATAATAATTTCAATATACGACGAAAACCAAAATCGCCATAAAGAGTATCTCACTGAACATGCCGGAATTGTGTCCCACAAATTGCCTACTTTAGGTATGCAGCATCTTTGAAGATGGCCGCGCCATAGCTCAAACGGTTAGTCGCTGGCTTCCCACCGCGGCGGCCCGGGTTCGATCCCGGGTCTGGTCAAGTGGGATTTGTGGTGGACAAATTGGCGCTGGGGCAGGTTTTCTCCGAGTACTTCGGTTTCCCCTGCCAATCTTCATTCCACCAATTGCTCCACAATCACCCTCACCTATCATCTTGGGCTGGTACAATAGGCCAGAAATGGCCGCAGTACAAGGGACTTAGTCCCACCCCACTATCAATAAAAGAAAATCGTCGAAGATACTTCGCAGCCTCTGACCAACTTAAGCTTTTGCGTTCCAATGCAAGGTTGTGTGGATAGCGTGTCAGCTTACAGCCTTGCTACACACATGTGCGGTATACACTTCTTGAAATTTGCTGCCATAAGCACTGTGATACAACGAGCATGAGCACGGCTTATGAATAAGGTACAGGTCAAAGCTATTGATAAATAACTCGTGTTATGGGTATAAGAGGCAAGGGTGTAACGATGGCTACTACGCTCGCTTAGAACAACACGTTTGCAGTCACAATGTGCCTCTGTTTACTGTGTTACATTTCAGCCTCACCTACGCCTTTCTGTTGGCCACTATTCATTACAAGAGCTGTAGCAGTAAAATGCCAGCTCGAAACACATATATATGGAATATGACTACAAGATTTTAAAGGACATAACTGACCTAAATTTATGTCGGACCTGTTTATTTAAAAGTAGCATTTGAAGTTTTCACACCGGTGGTTATGACAGAGATCTGACGCCGTGTAGTTCGTTGCTACCTGCTTCACGCTGGTTTCTTACTTACCTTACTATTTGACCCTGAAAATGGAGGCGACATTTTCCTCCGAAACGTCAGTTAACTTCCAACGAATTATCCCTAAAGATAGAACCCTTCTCTTGATTCGGCTTCTTTAAGGACAGTCTCAGTGTCTCGGGGTATATAGGGTTGAATGATGATTGTGAAGCATTAATTGGAAAGGACCAGGAAGGTGACGATAGGGGAAGTACTGTCCTGGGGTTGGTATGAAGGGACTGAGAGAAGCCATGCAGAACCTCAGACAACAAAGCCAATGTGCCGACCGAGAATCGAATCAGGCACTTCCCGAATACAAAACAATGCTTCCGATTGAGCTAGCAGTACTCGGTTATGGAGAAGGTATTAAAACTGAAGGTTATTCATTCCTCTGTGGCAACACAGCTCGTTCACACGCTGCGCACTTACCCAAGAGCAGGAGCAACGTAGATGTTGGACCACCAGACAATCCCAAAAGCAGCAGAGTTCCTCTGGGGTAGGCCTCAGGTTACTCCGAATTAAAAAAACATTTGGATCTACGAGAGATGAGGCGACAGGAGGTTGGAGAAAACTGCATGATGAGGTGCTTCATAACTTGTACTCCTCGCCAAATATAATTAAAGTGATTATGTCAAGGAACGAAAGAGACGGGTAGGAAGACCAAGACTTAGATGAGTGGACAATATCAAAATGGACCTTAGAGAGATAGGATTGGGTGGTACGGTCTGGATCGATCTGGCTCAGGATAGGTACCAATGGTGGGCTCTTGTGAACACGGTAAAGAACCTTCGGGTACCATAAAATGCTGGGAAGTTCTTGGGTAGCTGGCCAACTAGCGGCTTCTCAAGAAGGGCTCAGCTACATGAGTGAGCCATTAAATAAACACAAATAAATAAAATAAACATATAAAGATGTAACTTGTAAAGAAAAAAATAATTGAAGAGTTATATCTTCTGAGATGTGTCACCGAATATTCTGGTAGAAGTTTACCGACCTTTAGAAGGAACCGAGCTTACTTCTTCCATCATCAGGGTGAAAAAGCGGAGATACTATTTTGCTTGTTTGGATTATTCATTGACTATGAAGATGGAGGNATCTGGTAGAAGCTTACCGACCTTTAGAAGGAACCTAGCCTACTTCTTCCATCATCACGGTGAAAAAGCAAGCCAAACAAAAAGCGGAGATACTATTTTGCTTGTTTGGATTATTCATTGACTATGAAGATGGAGGCATTGATTTTTTTCCGAAACTTTGTTATTAAACATCTACCGAACTACACAGCATCATAGTCTTCATGTTGTCTCTTTATTTGACTTATCCTCAGAACCTTAAAGATGGAAGCAGTATGTTCCTTCGAATCAGCTACAGAAGTCCACGGTGTCACACTCCGCTTATGCCATATTTATTTCCTGCTTCGCTTATTCTTGAAGATACAACAGGCAGTACATTCCTCCGAAACGTCGGTAAACTTCTACCAGGCCGACGTTACATCCAAAAAAAATAATATTCGTCATACCGCAGTGAGGAACTCAAATCTGAGAAAGGAGAAACGGTTTGGAAAGCGGTCATTTGTAAGACCTTATAGGAGATGGGGACTTATTAAGATGGAGTATGAAAGTAGACCGTGAGTTTGGGAGTTTGCTGGAACTGGCTCAGGGCAGAGCATCTCAGCGTTCGAGAGGACAGAACAAACACATATCTGTGCTCACTGTGAACCCACACTAAACGGGTACCCCTTGTTCAGAGTCAATCAACTGTGACCAGTTCAGGGCTTCAACTCCAACAAAAAAAAATTCAAAATGTATACAATAACTTTTATTTACAGTTTTAAAAAAGGAACATTAAGAAATAAAGCAACAAAAAACAAATAATCAAGTTATAACAATGTTACAAATGCCCTATATTTTGTTCCACCCGTACAGTCCTGTCCAGAATGTGCAGTACTCACACAGAACAATACAGCCCAACAAACTCGCTAGCACACATCCATTTATACTGACGTCACTAATCGTTCTTCTGTGCAAAGTTAAGGTAACATATCGGGCAATTAAGTGCAGCGGTAACGCTCTAGAAGCGTATTCGAGGGGTGACTTGGTTCGAATTCTGAGATATTTCATGCATTTCCTCAGTACTTGAAAGCAAAAGCAGGGTGTTTCCTGGGTGAGCGGAGGAGGAGGAGAAATATTTACAGCGCTGTCAGCATATAGATTATATAGCGTCGATTCGTAGGATAATTGACGACTAACTAAATGGAAAAGATGTGAAAGCAAGCGATTGTAACCTAACCGAACTTCTATTCCGGAATTTGTTCGGAAGGACTAATAAAAATCACGAAGAACCTTAGACATGTAGCCGGTTCCCTGTCCACATTCCAACCAGAATATTTCCCCAATGCAGTCATCATGGAGTGACGACAGTGTGGGCAGGAAAATGTTTGTATTGTGTTGTATTGGAGAGGGTGGGTTTCCCCATGCACTTAGACCAACTGTTGGTCCATTGTGCGTCCCCCTATGATATTCTACCAGTCTCTATTCCCTACCGGTACTGGTGCGTGCCATCAGTCCCGACTCAGCCAGCGAGTTCGGCCTCTACTGGCTCAGCGGTATCTCGATGCTTCCCCCATCTACCAGAGGCGTTATAGACTACTTTAGGCGGGAAATGTCCTGAATTTGGCTCAGTGGTCCCCTTGGGAGATGAGGTTCTTTTACATGCCGTAAAGCTACGACACGGGACCCACGGCTTAAAGTCCCTCCCGGAGGACTTGTTCCCTGAATTTTTCCGCCCTTAAAAATTCCATGACCTCCGCCGGGTTTGAACCCGCGTAACTTGTGTCACGAGGTGGGAACGTTACCCCTAGACTACGGAGGCCGCTCCACGAAAATGTTAGTTCCTGAGTAAGTGTGAAAGTAGGCCGCTCCATAGCTCAAGCGGTTAGTCGCTGGCTTCCCACCGCGGCGGCCCGGGTTGGATCTCGGGTCTGGTCAAGTGGGATTTGTGGTGGATAAAGTGGCGCTGGAGCTGGTTTTCTTCGAGTACTTCGGTTTCCCCTGCCAATCTTCATTCTACCAAATTCCCCATCATCATAATCACCCGGGGCAGTCTACAATAGGCCAGTCAGTGACCGCCGTGCCGAGTGGACACAGTTGGACTCCAACCGCCACTAAGCGAAGTGTGGAAGTAAGAAATAGCTTACAGATATTTATACAGTTTTCTTACAAAATATATTACCAGTCTACAACTTGTTACAGAGACTCATTCTCAGTCGATGGCACGTGTTTCTCAAACGTTTATGTGATGTCTTACTGAACCACTGATCAGTCACGTAGCTAGCTGATTTACTGATAAATTACTGCTGGTCCTCGCCAGAACAGCCATTTTTGTTCCGAGTCCCAAGGGACTTATGACCACATTTGACTCCCTGACGGCTCTTGGAGCCTTCAGACTTAGTCGGTTAAGTCGTGTGGCTCTGCGGAAACAGCTCCATTAAGTCAATGGTTCATTAATAGGCAGCATCAAGTAGGGTGCATCGCGAAGGTTTGTGGCAGAGATGGCGAAATATATCTTATGATCATGTTTTTTAATAATATGACTACTATTTTGGGCATTGTCCATTGTCTTGAGTTTTTTTCAAAAACTTTTTCAGAAAAGGGATCTGTTTGTGTCAAGTAGTATAAAGGAAAAATGGTTCCTCCTAAGCTGGACCAGTTACAAAGAACGACTACCAACTACTGGCAGTAAAGATAATAAAATGATAAGGTTAATTTCCAGTTGTTCTTGCTTAATTAATCAGTCACCAAGTCATGAAGGCATGTGCGGCAGTCGAGTTATATCCAGCTCCACCACTATTGATCTCGGCATACGTTGCTGAGTGGTCAGCATCACGCCCCGGCCGCTTTACCCCCATTACATGTTACCCATTGTGTAGCAGGCTCATTTACTGACAGTGACATTAAATTTGTCCAGCACTGTAAAATATTATACTCCATAAGTATCATTTTACAATTTACAAAAATATTTGGTCATATATGTTCTCTGCCGTGGAAATTGAGGCGTTAGATTCCTCCAAAAAGCTGGTAACCGCTTACCAGACTATACGCTGTCACCAAGAACACTATTCAGTTCTCCGTGTCATAAGTAAAACGAATAAGGAATGCGTTTATCAATCTCAGAGAGAATTAGGCGACAAAATAATATTTATTGCAAAACCTTCTCTTTCTGAAGAAGGCAACCGGAACCGGAACACAAAAGCAAGCCCAGGAATTAACACACCCTTGTTCAATGCAGCAAGTTACATCACACGTAACTCAATTTCTTGTCATTAGTTTAGAAAAAAACGCTGTTCCTAAGAATTTATTGGGTTGAATTTTATGGATGATTTCTGTCACGACGCTCAGACTAAATAGTGTTGAATAGCAGGAAAATTATTGAATAATGAATTGTAAAGGGCGTTACATTTGTTTCGGGCTTAATTTGAAGCATTGCGCCAGAATTCTTCTAGAGGGAGTGAGGAAACCCATGAATAACCTCTATCATAATAGATCTCAGGACGGAGATTCGAACCCCAGAATGTCCCACAAGCGAAGCAAAAGTGATAACCACTAGATCACGGCATTCGCAGTAGGTCAAGGGACATACATATTCGGAAAAGTGCTTTTATTTAGTTTACAGACGGAGGTAAGCTGCGTTATGCCGCTTGTGCACCGAATCTTGTCCACCAGAGTTAACAGCAACACAAAAAGAACTAAGTTCCAATTATCTATTTCAAGATGGCGACCATACATGAATAAACTTAAATATAACATGTATCTCAAATTACAAAGCGACACTTCAGTTGGACTGTAACCGCTGCCTGATTAAAATACAGAATTCTAAAAATTGCTAGGTTTCTCAAACTAGCTGTGTTCCCGTCTTCAGGTAAAGCGCCTCTCACGAAGATCAGTTTTGCCTAATGACGCAACAAAATGGACTTTCTGCCTCTATTTTACCTGAAGAAGGAAAGAGACTATTCTCCGAAACGTGACAGTATTTTTTTTAATTTTATATTTTTATGAGAAAATAATTAAGTTAAAATGAACTGTCATAATAATAATAATAATAATAATACATCACTTTCATCAAATTTTAGAACAAAGTTTCTAAGACACAATTTAAACTCATTCTTATGAGACGCGCACAGTTTTCTGAAATGTGACGCCCTGTAGTCTGGAAGAAGTTTGTGAATGTTTCGAAGGAACGTGCCATTTCCACCTGCTGGTTCGACGAGTAAGCCAATCAGCAATCAAAGTGACGGCTCACTTTTCGACAATGAAGATGGAAGCAATTTGTTCCTCCGAAACGTTGGTGACCTCCTACCAGACTAAATGGCGTCACAGTCCTTCAGAGTGAGCGCCGTGATGGTCTCACACTCCATCCTCATATTACTGTTTATGTATGTCCCAATAACGAAGCACTCATTCCCACGCACACTCAAGTGCGAAGCTCTGTGGTGGTCTCGCCCGTAGCTATAGGTTCGTTGCCGGGCTCGCAAGGCCATGATGCCCGTTCATGACAGCAAGCGAAGCCGCTGGAGTCGCATTGCAGCTCTGTAAGTACATGTGATAATAATTGTAGTTCTGCGTCGGGTCGGGAGCCATGGTCACCTGTCCCGCAGTGGAGGGCACTGACGGATGCTGGACCGTGGGTCTGAACCCGGTGGCTGCAGCAGCAGCGGCGGCGGCGGCGTGATGGTGGGCGTTCGCTAGGATGTCAGAGACGGAGTGCGAACTTGGCCAACAGTGCGTCTGGGGCCCCCGTGGAGGTGCGATGCAGTGTGTGACAGGAGACGGAGGGGAGCCCACTCCAGGGAGCTTAGCGGGCACAGCCCCAGCCGCAGTCGCGTAGGGATATGTCGGGTAGATAGAATTATAGAGGTGAGGATGCTGGGAGGCACCTGAATGGTGATGGACCAGAGCACCTATCTTGTTCCGCAGTATCCGGCTTATGGAACTTACTGAAGGCACATTATACTTATCACAAACACCGTCTGATAACAGTCTGTCTCGAATCTCCCAAGCAAAGATACCAGGGTCCTTTTGTTTAAGTTCTTTGATATACGCCACAACTTTGGGTGTTGTAACCCGAGGCTTACTTCCGCCGATAGCTCCCGGTAAGATGGAGCCGGTCTCGTGGTACCGCGCCAGGATCTTGGACACACATCCGTGCGACACCCGTAGCTGTCGCGATATGTCACAGGGCCTGATCCCAAGTTGCGCCAGTTCCACGATCCGTAGGCGAACGGCGTTCGGAAGAGGTCGACCGTTCACGAACACGCCTCCCAGTTGATTCACCTCACCGTACTGCTGGCACTGCGCATCTAAAAAAAAAAACACAACAAACTGTTCGTCAGTGAACATAGAGCAGAATTTCCCAAGTTCTGACTCTCATTTCAGAGAGTTCCCAGGTTCCCACAGCAACAGACACGAACGCAACAATGGCATAGCAATAATTTCTGTGTGATCCGTGCAGAGATGTTATAACAGGAACGGTTTCGGACAGCTGCTCAATTGCAAAAGCGCCCAGTTCAAAGTCCGGCTGTGAAGAGAAGAATTTATGTGTGATATCTGGAGTGTGTAATTCAGTGATACTGTCGTAGTACTGCCAGGAAATGGTTAGTTGAGACTGTAATAGACTGAGAACATTAGGTGTGTGTGTGACAGTCATCTGTAAACTGCAGTCACGAGCCGTGAGTGTATAAGTGGTCAATAAATCGATTCACTAATCCAAACCCCATCTATGATCACTCATACACGTGACAATATACACGGCGCTATATAAACCGAGTTCATAATTACATATTGAGGGCACAAGATAGCGTAGTTGGTTGAAGCACTATGCTACAAGCCGGAAGGTCGTTGGTTTGATTTGGGATTAAGTCATTGGATTTTCAATTGGCCTACATCCTTCAAGCCGCACTTTGGCCCTGGGTCGAATCAGCCTCTAACAGAAATGCGTTTCAGGAATTTTCCTAGAGTTAAAGTTTGGCCGGCCGACGAGTAAGGCTGACAACCTCACCGCCATCTGTGAACCGATTTTCTAGAATATGTGGGTGCCTAGACATCTTACTACCCTATAGACTTCCATGGCCTGGTACAGGGATAGCTTTGCCTTTACATTACCTTTCTAATTACATACTGGTATAAAGACAAATCAAGTCTTGAATACAGTGAGATAAGAAGTAAAATGTATACTAATTGGAAAGAGAACGTTAAGACAAAACTTTATGTCGGATAAGTTGTTCTTCCTCTACATCCGAAGTCACGTGGCTGGAAACAAATATCGTGTTCAGTAAGGAAAATGGGGTGCTTACATATGCCGTCAGCTTCCATCGGGCAATACTGTAGGCGGAAGTCAGAGTTCGGTTGTGACGGACAAGGGAGACTGAAGCAACCCGAGCTGCAGGGGAGTCACTTGTCGGCTTGACGGCTGTACGGACCTGCCAGATGCTGTACCTCCTAACTACTTCCAGACCGTTCCAGACCGCCCTAGGAACAGCTTGAAACTGCGAAACATGAACTTGGAATTGTTGGACAGGAGACGAACACAGGTCACATACAGAAAATGAACAGACAGATTCTGAATGAAGCTGAGACGTCTCTTGCGATAAAACTAGACATGTGTTGCATGGACGTCGCTAGGAATACCTCCACGGGTGGGTGAAGGAGGGATAAGCCACAAAATCTTTTTAAAAATTTGCAAATAATAAATAATATTTTAAAATTATTTTTAAATTTATATTTATTATGATGGGGGACACGCGGTATCGTATTTTGTTGAGCCACTATGCTACAAGTCGAAAAGTCGGGGGTTCGTTTCTCAATGAGATCATTAGATTTTTAATTGAACTTAATTCTTCCAGCCGCACTATAGCCCTGGAGTGGACTGAGTCTCTGATAGAAAGGAGTACCAGGAAATTTCGTGGTGGGTAAAAGGCGGCCGGTGCGTAAGGCTGACAACCTTACCAACATCTGTGAGGCAATTGTAAAGAAAAATGTGGGAGCCTCGATGTCTCACAACCCTATGGCCCCCACGGCGTGTTTCAGAGATTTAGTACAATTCTTGTTTTTAATGCAGGGGGCAGATTCCTTAGGTTGAGGATGGAAGGCAAGACGTTAAAGAAATCTATGACTTACAAATCATAGGTAAAAGAGATGTAAGAAGACAAAGGAAGACACGGAGACTAGGCCAGAACATATTAATGACTAATACCATGAGGTGAAGGACAATTTTGAGTATTGTTTTCAAAACTCGAGAAGTAGGAAACAGACGCCTGGCTCCCACCACCGTCCTCCAGGACCTACGCGGTTTGTGTGCCGCTGTCCTCAAACTGCTGGGTGGATCTGATGTTATAACGACACAGTTTCGAGCGGGAAAGCGATTCCAGATTTGTCGCAGGATACACGGTGACTCTGTCACACAATACCAGCCCCCACGGAATTTGGCGGTGCGTGTTTGTGTAACATGATCCTGTCATTTAAATCAGTGTCAGGATGGAAGTAACATGAAAAGCCTGGCTCTCCCACAAGGCTGCCGGCATGTTGCGAACTTCTTTATAGTGACGGTTTTACGGCTCTGGCCAGGCACTGAAGGCAAATCGAGCTCTGAGCTACTGCTACTCCTGGTTACATGTCAGGGAGTGCCGTCCTCAGAAAGAATTCTCAGTCGCCCTGAGTGGCTTTTGCATTTTTATACAGTGAACCGTTTCCTCGCTGAGCGGCTTGGCATAACGGTAAAGCTCCGGACTCGCATTTGGGAGGTTCTCGCTTCGAACCTCGGCAGGAACACCGGCCATTCTGAATGAAGGGTTTTATGGTTCTCCTTAGTCCCTCCAAGCAAATTATGGGAAAATACTCGGATCAGGTCACAACATCTTCCTCCTAAACCCTTTTCAGTTCATCAGTCATTCTACCGTTCAGCGCTACATACCGAGAGAGTCAACCCATAAAGTATTCTAAGCACGCAACGTCGCCACGTTAGTAGAAATTTATTTTTATAAATAAAATAAAAGGGACAAGTGGTAGCACAGTTGGTTGTGGCAGTATGCTACAAGTCGGAAGGTCGTGGGTTCGATTCCCAAGGAGATCACTGAATTTTTCAATTGACCTAATCCTTCCACACTATCCCTAGATATTATTTCTGTTAGAGCCTCTGTCGATCCCAGGGCTGACTGAGGCTCTAACAGAAATAATATCCAGGGATTTTCCTGGGGGTAAATGGAGGCCGGCGAATGAGGTTGTTAACCGAAGCGCCACCTCCGAGCCAATCGCCTAGAAAATGTGGGGGCCTCGACTTCTCATAAACCTATGGACCTCCACGACCTCTTACAGGGATAGCTTTACCTTTATTTAGATAAAATCAAAAGCCTAATTTTTTAAAACTCTAACTTTCAAAGTTAGATTTACTTGAGTCACCCATTAGAGTATTATTATACTTAACACTTAGATTTATGTTAATGAAATTATTATTATTCCTATTATTATCATTTGTTTGCTTGTTTGTTTGTTTGTTTGTTTGTTTGTTTGTTTGTTTACTTTTCTACATTATTGTGTTTTCCCCAGTGCTTGCCTGTAATTTGCCTTTGACTTCATATTGTGTTTGTCTATAATGTAATTACTTTTATCTACCCTGTGTTCTGTCTGTAATTGGCCTTGCGGCCGTTGACTCGGCACATAAATAATAAAAAATTGAATTGAATTGAATTATTATTTTTAGTGGGGTGAGGTTGAGTCCACTCGGTACTGCGGCTACTGTTTAGCCTATTGTACCAGCCCCAGATGATAGATGATGATGACTTTGGAGCATCGGTGGAATGCAAATTGGCAGGGGAAACCGAAGTACTTGAAGAAAACCTCCCCAGTGCCACTTTGTCCACTACAAATCCCACATTGCCTGACCTGGGCTCGAACACGAGCCACCGTGGTGGGAAACCGGCGATTAATCGTCTGAGCTATGGTACGGCCCAGCAGTAAGTAACAAATTACGCTTCCCCTTATGTTTATGAGGCCGATTATGTAATTGACAGGTTAAGTTCATTTCAACACAAGGTTTGCATCGTATTGCCTTAAATTTGCAAAATTAAGAAATGATTTAAAAGGCCTATCCCTGTGTCTCAGTATTCCCCCCTATATTTCTATTAATAACCTTCCACAATCTGAAATTACTGCTGCCAGTCGAGTAACAGTTAATATTAGGACTTGTTTTGATTCACTCCCTGAATCAAGGTCCTTCAGCTGGCCAATAAATATCCCCGCATTTTAATGGTTCATTCTCATGTTTACATGAGCCTGACCTGAGCCAGATAAACCTTGTCCATGACGCCGTAACCCGGGGGAAGAAGCTGATGGCAGGCCAGGAATCTGTGCCCCGCCAGCTAGACTTTAATAAAAATCGAAATGGAAGAGAAGCGAAAGTCTGCCATAAATTAACACTAAGAACTAAAATTGTTAAATAAAGTAAGTTAAAGATGTCCCTGTGTTTAACTAATTCAGCACTAAGCAATGAAAGCGCATGGAGGAGTCGATGTATAGACCCATGTGTTCTTGACCTCGGCACTAACTGGAGCTGAGTGGTCAGCTCCGTGCCCCTGTCACCTTACCCCCGGTACCCATTGGATATGAGGCTGGGTGTGCCCCAGAGGCAGTTTGGACGACATGGAGAAGAGAAACTTCATTTCCCTACCTGGACTAGAACTCTGACCCTCGGTCGACAAGCCCGTAGCCAACCGCTATACCAGCTACGTTATCCCGGCTCCCCCGAGAGTTAAAACTGATTTTTCAAACTAATATTCTTCTAAGTTGAATAAACCAGGGAGATCAGTAAATATATTTCTAAGGTTTCAGCCAAAGATTGAAAGCAAATCTTATGGCACAAATGTTAAGTCTCTGGACTTTACCTATTCTCCTGTTTTCATCCAAAACATGGTCATGTTTTTTGTTTAAAAACACAAAGTTTCGGAGACTGGAGTCTCTTTTCCTCCGTGTTGTGTTCCTAAATAAAAACAGGACGATGGGTGATATCCAGAACTATATTCTTTTACTAATACATATCATAGCCACAAACATTTAGATCAAATCATAAGCCTCCGGAAACTGGCTGCCTCTCCTCCGAAAAAAAGTCCTGGTAATGTTTATGATCATATCCACAAGTTCACGTCACGTTCCTCTACGTTCTGTTTCTATATTCTTGCCGCCCATTCCTAGAGTTCTTAAGGGATCTCTTCCCTTGTGCTTCACCAACTAAAATTTTGTAAACATTTGTAATATCCCTCTGTTCTCCCCAAACTTTTTCGCTCTTTCTGATTTGATTATCCCAATACTG